GCAGGAAGCCCTCCACACTATCCAGTATTTTAACCCCTTATCTTTGTAATCTGACAGCTCGTAGTTTTGCTGTCAAAATGAAAAAAGCTATTTTTATAAATCAGCACTGGAAAATAGATTTTAATGCCAATATATAAGAGCTTCCTCTACGTTTTTTTTTTGCTGGTATTAAAAACACTAGTACTTGCTCTTAACGTTGAGATTCTCTATCTGGCTGTAGAAGGGTTCATGAATCAACACACAATTTAATAAGTGAATTTGAAGTAGTATCACAAATTGAGGACTCCTTTCACTTTAGCAGGAGCATTTCTGTGCTTTGAGTATAAAAATACACATCAGCACATCAGATAAAACTTACAACCTTAGGTGTCAAGTAGGAAGTGCTGTCAGGACCTTTTAAAAAACCCCAAAACCAAAAAAACAAGCACTTGAAAATATTAAGTAGCCATAAGCATCAGCTTGGTGCTGTGGCATAATGGATACTGCATACAGGACATTACAGTTTTTAAGGAAGGAGGGATTTCCCCCACACAGTGCTCCAAACACTACACTCAGGTCCTCTTTCACAAACCTGTGACATGGAATTTATTGTCCCTACCTTTCCAGTATGCCATAGCTTAGGTAACAACAAACCATAGCAGAGGTAACACTAAAAATCACATCCTGTTCAGACACTGAAGGAGGTTGTAGCCAGCATTTCAGAGGTTAGACTGAAGGAAATGAAACCATTTTCAGGTCAAAGTTCTATCACTTCTAAGGGTAGGACTGATTTCAGCTTGATTTATCTTCCACTTAAAAACAAGCGTAATTCATCTTGTTTCTTTCTAACTGAGGAAGGTCCATTTAAAAAGGTACAACTGTAGAAAAGTCCCGACTATTCTGACTTGTGTTTTATTCCTATTGGGTTTTGGATATAAAATTCTGAATTAGTATAAAGTAAAGATACTGGAAAGCTCATAGCACATTTGAACCTTAGGAGGTTACTTATGAACCTCTGCCTTTTCAGCAAAAAGGCTCCTTTCCAGTCTGGTAAGCATAAGATGGTTCTCCAAAAACAGCTTCTCCCTCTCTTCCTTGCCATTTCTTGCATCTATACTTGAAACCAATATTTGTTTATCTATATTTGTTATCTATAGGGTAGAATTTGCTTTCCATATTCTTTGAATAGGTTCACATCTCCACTACCCACACAAATTCCTTCCCACCTACGGGGACACTAACCTGACCTGCTGCAGACACAGGCCTCGGTGAGATGAATCGTTATCAAGACACACTTATTTCTCTGGAGTACACTAGGGAAAGCCTTTAGTCACATGTGACGATACAGATGACAAAAAGGGAGAGGTAGTTTCACTCAGTGTCTTCGGAAAGACACGATAACAAAGACCACATAACCAAATGAACTAAGTTTTAAATACAAGAGAAACATGCTTTAACTATGATCTGAGCTTTTCAACATTTTCACTTTATAATTCAGAATTTTCTATCCAGTATTATAAATATCAAATAGCATCAATATATTTATATCCAATATTATAACTCAGAATGTTATGTCCAAAAAATGGTAATACAACAAAAGTCAAGGTAGTCAAGAAGTAAGAAGCATCTGTATCTTCCTACATCACACTTCTAAATGGACAAGGACTCAGCTGAGTTGCCTAAGCTGGCACTAAAAGCCCAAAACACTAATCCCTAACCCAACCTTTTTTCCTCACTGCAAAACTCAACTCCTCACAGCAATTTAGGGCAATTACGGAACAAGACACAGACAAGAATTTGAGTTGTGCACGTGCAGCAGGTCCTGTGAACAATGGTTCTCACTGCCCTTTCCACTGAAGTCAGTTCTCAAAGCTGAGTTTCCATGAGAGCATTTCAAGGCTGGTACTGAAGTACCAAATTGAAAACCTGAGATTTGCTTCAGCAGATATCTTTTTCTGTGAAAAAATATACTCCTCAAAATGCTGACTGCACTGCAGGTACTAACTGATTAATTAAATTGTAGCTACACTGCCATGTCACTTCAGAAATCAGAGATTTTTCTAAATACACCATTCTTATGTTCAGCCATTTCACTATGGAAGTTGTGCTTGGCTCCAGGGCTCTTATCGTTGGCAAGAAAACTGCTGTCAAGAACCAAAGAAAACAAACTGATTTAAGCATGCGCTTTTTCCTAGTGCTTAAGTCTTTGTAGGTAGCAATAAACAAGACTATAACTGAAATACTTGTTCAAAGTTTAGAAGCAATGCAAACAGCATAAATTCTGTGATACTCAAATTCGTCTGCATTATGAGAATGGAAGAGGAGAGTTTTAATAATTGCCCATTGGCTACTACCACAACAGTCATGGCCTCTTCTTGGCACAGAACGCTATCAGGGAAGCGAGAAGACTGCTCCATACTTTTACAGATACACAATAATCAAATACCAGGAAGACTACTACAGCCCAAGTTAAAAGAAGCCGTGGAAATGTGATCGACTTACCAGTATTCTCTGGCATAGAAGCTTGATCAGTATTTCTCTCCTTCTTAAAGGAAATATTTCCAAATTGTAGCACGGAAGATACCACTTTCAGCATTGCTGTGTTACCAAAAGACATATGCAACAGTTTTAATTAAAGAGGGCTCAGCGTAACACATTTTTCTTCTGTTACTTGTGTCATTTTCCTTCCAAATTCAAAATATGAGTTCAGAAAGGAAATAAAGTTTGTACTTTGTACGTTTTGGGGCAAATGGCTTTAATTTAACTCCAGCTCATGTTTGCCGCAGGCTGTCAAGACACTGAAGCAACATTAAGTTTGGTGACATTAAATTAGCAAGTGTGCGTGGAAGAGACAAAAAGTACACTTTAAAAATCCAAAAGGTGCAATAACTTACACAAGATCTCATCATGTGAAAATCCCATGATATGCATGGCTTCCATAGTCTCCTGAAAGTTATCCTTGTCTTGTTGCCCAGGAATGGGGATGTAGCCATTAGATAAAAATCTGTAATTGTTAAATCCTTCAAGCAGCAAGTCAGCTGTATGGGGGGGAAGACAAAAGAGACAGAAAAATAAGCTGAAGAAATGCTGTTCACACCCACCTATTCTCACTAAATGCACAAACTACACTTTACAAAATCAGTTCCACAAATAGGGCTACAAGCCGTTATACCAGCTTCTGAAACTCTAAAAATATGAGTGTACCTTAGAAGCTGAAGCCAGATTCCCAGAATCTCTATCTGTAGCAACCTACATTAGCTCTTTAATGCATTAAGCCTGTAAACAGAACATGACCCAATCTCAAATCCCTATTTGGAATATCCTAAAAGAAGTATCTCTACTGAAGGTAACAGACACAGGCAGAAGCGGAGTTCGGTATTGATGATAACCACATCAAGGATTCTAAACACAGCATTATCTAATACAGGAGGAAAAAGAGCGGATAAATTCTCTGAAGTCTGTACCTTCATATAGTTTCACTTATCACAACCTAACAGAAATTCTCAGTTACCAAGGGAAAAGAAAGAGTAGAAGATAACCAAGACAGTACTGCAACAGCTGAAGAAAGCCACGGAGTTTCATCATGTTTTGGTAAAAGAACTCCTTTTCTACCCAGTGCAAAGGCAAGGTCCAGAACAGATAGGGCTGTCGCCGCTGACCAGCTTTGTTATTTATCAGCACCACAGTTACAATCCAGTGATTCCCAGTCAGAGACTGCTCAAAATGGACTATGTCATGTAGGTGCAGTTGCTTGACAGCATACTTGATAAAACACAGGGGTTATTTCAAAACAAAGCCGCCTGGCTTTTTAGTCTTCTTTTAAATCTTTCTGTTTCAAAACCAAAGACAAGTTCAAACACGACTGTGTTAACAGTGAAATAACAAACACAGAAGCAACAGGTTTACCAAATGAGACTCTCAACTTACACTTCAGGTGTTCTCCTGCTCCAGCTAGTAGTTGATAGAAGATATGAAATGTCCGCTCATCTTTAGCCTGACGAACAGCGCGAGACTTTTCCAACAAGTCTGATTATAATTCATCAAGGATCTTTGACAATTTTTGGTTAAAAACATCCAACGCAAACAAAATTTCAAAGGCTATGTAATTACTTTAAGAATAAATAGAACTTTCATATTGGACATAGTCTTGTCATTACTATTAACTTTAAGTAACTTTAAATAAGACATTTAAACATTCAGGACTGGTAGAAGCCCACGTTTAATTTCAGCAAACTGATTTCTTGGATGTTGGCTGCACTTCCCTCCTACATGCAGCTGACAATTGTCTGCAATGGATCAGCTGAAGTCAAAGTGAGAGGGGGAGCTGGCCACTCTTTTTCAATCACTTCTATTGAGGTCATAGCTGAACTCTTAATACCAAAAACCCAGCAGCTGCTGAACTCAAAAGTACTTTATCTGAAGTGTATTTTTACATACAATCTGCACTGCCTCTAAACAGCTCCCAAATTCAATCTGTGCAGCAGGTAGTGTCTAATAAGCTGCCATAAGCGGTGATGTTATTTAAGTTTTTATTTCTTGATATCCCATATTGTAAAACAAACATGGGGCAGGAATTTGAAGTGACATAGGTTATGAGCAAGGATGAGTTCTTCTGATGAAGAAAATTCTCCAAGAGTTAAGTTCTCCTGTCTTCACAAAGCTCTAGTCAAAACAATTCATCTGAACTTTCTTAAAAAAACAAAAACTGCCTTCATTCCTGTGCTGTGCTGAATGAAAAAAATCGTTTATCATTAAAGCATGTTTTGAATAACCATAGATCTTTCCCAGCCTTACTGGGAAATTGTATTTTGTGACAGTTCCAAATATTCAATGCACTCTAAAATTAAGCAGTTTAACTCATAGCAACAGAATGAAAGCTTAACTGCGGTGTTGCTTATAATTAATACTCACATGATTTTGTTTACTAAGACTTCCAATTTCCTAATTTTATGACCCACTCGATTGCTATTTCCCCAGAAAACTGGCTAAATAAACTAAAAAAGTTACACAGACATTAGTTTTAGTATAAAGAAAACAACTTTGGAGAAGGGTTTTCAGTGCAAGTATTTTTACTTGTTCTTATGCAATCATAAATGAAAACAAGCTCTAAAGCTGTAACTGAATTAGGCTTTAGTATTCATTGCTAGTAGGTCTCATGTTATTGAGCCTACACTGGTAGCTAGAAGACTTAAGAAAAGAGAAGGTGTCCCAGCACTCCCAGCTCTATCACTTTATAGAGAGCATCACCTCCTTCCAGGCAGGAGCTGCTGCTGCAGTGCTGACGAGAGCAAAACCAAGCTTTTGGCACAATACAGTAGCTCAGCTTCTCATTAGGAAGGCGTTTTTTCTTGTGATGTTCATAAAGCAAGCACACTTTAAATGGTTTCCCTATTTAACACACCCTGTTCTTAAGGCTAGTCTGAAATCTGCTGGATTTTCAGAGTGCTAAATTTTGTTGGAGTATCCGATTTCTAAGCATGAGGAAGCACGCTGACTTTGTGATATTTGATCAGCTATATTGAAACAAAGGAAGAAATGGATGTAGCCAAAGGAATGCAGAAATGTGGTAACCTTTCACTGCATTCCAGTGAATTCTAGGGTTAAAAACAAAACAATTGGGAAACTTGCATTTTACAGTGATGTGGCATTAAGTAGGATACATGTCTCGATGTTGGCCCCAACAATATAACCAGTAACATCAAAGTTAATCCTAATGAACTTGCCCTGCAAAAAAAAAAAAAATTTTTTTTGTAATTACTAATTTTTATTAAGACAACAATGCTGTCTATATAAAAACATAATCCTACTTGCATTCATACAACAAGCATTTCACACAAGTGGACATGAAATCTTTTCCCTTCAACATGCTCAGCGATCATTTCAACGAAATGTTATGTTGCACACAAGCACTTTCTAAAGGTTAAAGAACGAGTATTCTCGGTATGTTTGTAACCCAGACTGATGAAAAACCTTTCTGAAAGCAAAGCTTAGTTTCTCACATTGACAAAACTTGCCATCTAAGGTTGAAAGCAATGCTGAGATTTTAAGTGCACATATTTCTATAGTAAACTGATTGGTGCCTAACGGTGCTTTATCTGCAGCAATCCCAAATTTCCATGTGCTGCCCAGCCCATCACACTTCTTCCATTTCCAAAACCAGGATGGCTCCTACCTGCACGACCTCTCTTCTCTAGCTGTTGGTAAAGAGAGGACTAAGGGAGAGCCAATATACCCCATTTCTTCCACATACATCTCCCTTTCTCCGTAAAGGGCCAAATAAAGAGCACACTTTCCATGCACAGAGCAGCTCTTGGAAAGAAAGTGGTTGCAAGTAGATATATTATACAAGTTTTAAGCCACATCAGTTCCCCAATCTGATTTGTCATTTGGCTATGAACATTCCCAACAGGACAACAAGTTCCGGCTTGCAGTTGCACCACTTTTAACAGCACCATATTTCAAGTTTGTGCCCATGAAGCTGTTAGGTATTGCCCCGGTTGCAAACATGTGAAGAACTACCTGGTGACTACACTGGGTTCTCCATTTTCGTTGCATCCAATTTCTAGAGTCCTCTGTCCACATATGAACAGGTTCCGGAGATCAGGGAGCACCACAGCAGTCTGCTAACAACTGTCTAAATGCTTCTTTTGATAGTATCTGCACAAAAACACTTACTAATATCTTTTGCGGAGGCCTTCTGAAAGCACTCTTACAATCAGCATCCAAATCTTCACTGATCTCAAGTCTGACTGGTCAGTGCTATTAGTATGTTAAAGTGAATTCCTCTCTGGCAGATCCATTCGGCTCAGCGACTGTAGTATTGATTTTCATATGAAATACTCTACAAGCTTGTAGGATATATGAATTCTAGCAAAAGCCCAACCTAGTAAGAGTATATTGGGGGAGTATATTGCCATGCTGCAATCATTTGAGCTATTGGAACTTCTTACCAGGACCCTTCTCAGCTTCCCTGATACAGTCCATTCACGTCAAAAAGACTGTGCCCAAGAGTAACCAAGTTTCTCCCCTCAACCACACCAATGACTCCAGAGAAAGGGACAACCTACCTACCAGCCTCATCTTGACTTAGTCCCAGGGCAAAGCAACTGCTCTGTAACTGTGGTTGTATATCTTCAACTCAAGAAACGTCAAAGAAAACGTGCGGAATATTTTAAATTTGCTTCAATGGCTACTCTCTACTGCTTAATCTGCAGTTGGGTTGGAAAGCCAGTGGTACTAAAATGACCATGGCAAGGAAGAAGGCTGGTTTTCAAGCATGCCCTGTCAGGGACCAGCACTTGAACTCAGATTTCCAAGTATGAAGAAACAGAACACTCTAAGCTCAGCTTGTAACTGAAGCATTTATACTTCTTGCTCAGTAACAATTCCAGAAAGCTATATTTATAACTGTCACAAAGAATGAACTGACATTTTACTGAAATTCAGCCAACAGACTAGATATAACACGCATGTGTCAGCACCAGCATGTCAAGAATGGCAGCTGACAGCTTTTTACCCAGAACAGGTACCATGGAGCCTTTTTCAAATGACACAGCTTGAGCTTGCCGCGTTACACGTGAGAACAAACACGAAGCACTACGTAAGGTCCAGTCAGTGGCTTTTTCTGATATAACCACTTTACTCTGTTTCACCCTTAAAAGTTATCTAATTTCTGCTGTCAAGTTACCAGTTCCATGAACAAAAATGATGAAGGAAATGCAGTCATTAAACAAGCTGACATATCAGAAGAGGGGTCCCAGACACTCCCTGCTTCAAAGTTCAGTCATCACCAAAGTATACACTAGAGAGTCACTTACCTAGTTCATCTTCTTAAAAGCAAAATATTTAATACATCTTTTTAGCTAACACTGACAAATCTTGCTATGAAATCTTTAATTTATCAGTTAGAGACTGTAGTGGTCGTCATCTAACAACTGACTTCTGTTTACACTGTCATTATAGCACTTAGTACACGGCTTTGCAAAAACCACATCAGAAGGGAGCATTCGATTCTGCAATATGAGCCCAGGAAGCCCACTCTATCCACTGCAATCTAGAGACTTTATTTCCTGAACCACAAGAGAACACTGCCTTTGGTAGAAGGAAAAAAAAAAAATCAATTTGACACTAGCCTTATTTCAGTCCTATCTGGTATTATCAACAAGTAAGGAACAGGCTGGCATCTTCATGCTGCGTGGTGAAGACTGTCAAGCCTGTATGGGCTGAACAACAGCACTTCTCACTTTGTGGGAGGATATATATTTTTTAAGTCAGGTTTTACAATGGTTGTTACTAAAGGTTATTTTTTCTGCCTGAGATGACACCATCTGGAGTGCATTATACTTGCTCCTTTATAAAAATAGAGCTGGAGCCATCAGAGTGATTATGTTCATGATGGCAATGCAGATTTCTGTATAATACAAACCAGATGCTAACATCTTTTAGGAAAAAAGTATTCTCATTAAATTAGTACAATCTTTGATGGATTCAAGACATGTAACAAAGTGGAATTACTGCGCAGTGAAACCTGTTGATATTATTAATCCTATACCAAACATATATAAGCATCAAGCAATATTGTAAGTAATGTGGCTGTAAAAGTTAGAGTTCTACAGTACTCTGCTCTCCCTTCTTAACTGAAAAGGCTAAGGGATTTAGTCATACAGTTTTCCAGAGTCCTTATCACTAGAACTGAGTTCATACATTATAAATCCAAGCAACTGTTGAAACATCAAGGCAGCCAAGAAATCTTTCATTTGTTCTATAAATTTTAGTTATGTTCTCACAAGAAAAAAAGATTTAATACCTCTTATACATCTTTCCCCTGAAATAGGAGATGGCACTATTTTTCCCCTTCAGAGGAAAGGAAGTTTTAAGAAGTGGTAACTAGCTGCTCACCCCGAGCTCCACCACTATTTTTAAAACAATGGAACACATTAGAAGTGGTTATCCACCACTAAAAGAATACATGATGAGAAGGCACTGAGCCAACAAAACCACTGACCAGCTACGAGAGTGCCCAACACCTTGAATAAGTCATACTGTCATTTTGACTTTCCTTCAGTAAATCAGTCAGAAGGGCATGGAAATTTAGAGAGGTTTTTATATGCAAGTTTTGTGCTTTTTTAAAAACTGAGGATGTTGTCTCTAAATCAATCAATCAAGTCGTAGCTATTGACAAGGAGCCAACATATTTAGCCAAATTCCCTGTTGATGCCATACTCCATGCTTTACAGCAGTTCAGCAGTAATTTAGGCATGCAAGCCGCAGTTTAGGTCTACAGCATTGTTATATTTGTTATACTATGAACGCTAGTGTCAATTCAAGGATGGTTGAAGTTAGAAACTGGATAAAATTAATGCAAGTTTTGCCAAAAGACAGTGAGGATGCATCTTCCGTGACCCCCACACAATGCAGAAAGCATCATAAGAGAATCTAAATTTGTGGAGGAAAGAGAACAAAGAAAGCTTCTGAAACTAATCAGATAAATTCCTAAGAAGGGAATTGCTCCATAAACAGTAATCCAGATTTGCAGACTCTAAAGAGAAAAGGAATAACTCACAAAGCGGGAGGAGTTGTCATTTTTCACTGTCTTTGCATTCCCGAAGGATTCCAGAATGGGATTCGCCTGAAGAAGCTGACGCTCCAGCTCCCCCTAAAAACCACACAAACAGAAAAAAAAACCAAACATAAGCTCCGTGCACAGGTGATTAAGGGTTCTTATATTCTGCTTCTTTCTGACAGTCATTTTACCAAGGCTGTAGCAGTGATACCACCTTCAAAAGGGGGTTATCATTTTTCCCCTCACTTCTAAAGCCACTAATTGTCTCCTCCATCCAGTGAAGAATGTGTTTTGGCTTTGGGGTTTTTTTGGGGGGAGTTTTTTGTGGTTTGGGTTTGTTGGTTTTGTTTGGAGGTTTTTGGGTGGTTTGCTTTTTTTTTTTTTTTTAAAAACACACATACATACACACACACAGAGCAGTGACCGAATAGGATTTAATGGATGTTGAAAATCATTGAACATGGAAAAGAAAATTCACATTTAGGGCTAATGGAATTAGGCACAGACTGAGTGCTTAAAGGAGAAACAAATTTAACTGGTTTAAGATTTTATTGCAAGGTTATTCTTAAACTTCTTGTTTAGTGATTTGACAATATAGGTACTTTGGAATATTTATTTTCAAACTTACTTTCAAATCAGTGAAACACTCACTTTCAATCAGCCAGACATCAATATCATTGCAACAACCCTGACCTGAATGTCCTGGGAAGCATCCTCAGTTCCCATTATGCCGCTCTGGCAACACCAAATACAAAGCTCATTTTCAAATTGCTCAATTCAGCCAACATTGCTCAGTATGTTCAATGCATTTTTTAAATGTTTCTTTAAGTTCAAGCCAATGGATGCAGAAATCAAAGTACTTATCTTAAGGAAATTGCACAACAGATTTTACAATTGCTGTCCGTGAGGAGGTCTGGTAACAAAAAAGTCTGTGCTGCTTCCATGAGCCCAGAGGCATGTATGTACATAGGAAAATATGATACGGTCTTCCTGCTATGAAGGATGGTTTAAAAAAAAAAAGTGAAGCTGTCTGGAATGTAGTCTCAAAAACTGGCGTTTGTGTTCATAAACCTGCTTTTTCCAATTACTTATAGCATAGATGAATAAAGGCCTCAGACTGAACATCAAAGAATGGGAAACATAACTCTCTTAAGGCTTCCACATGAGGTGAATTCCTACACAAGAATTTTTAAAATTCACTAGTTAACACCTAAAAGAGGCTTTTATTTGTATATTGAAATAGATTCCAAGTCCTCCTAGGAATTAATGGCTGCTCTTTCTTTAATGTGACCTCAAGTTATCTGCTCAAAACTTGTTTACTTCCAAATATATTCCCTTTGGGACTACATATTCTCTGAATTCTGAAGTAACTAAAGAAGAAATAAATGTGTGAGCCTCAGCCCAGAGCACACTAAACACTACTCAGGCCACAGCGCCTATGCACTATATGTCAGGTCTGCCAACATTACAGGTCTCAGGAGTACTTTTAAATTGACAAAAAAATCCACAACTGGAAAAAAAACTAGATCCCTGTTATAACCACTATATGAACGTCTGCAATTTATATTCTAAATGTTTCCTAAGTAAATGCATGAGATACTGGGAAAGCATTTGCTCACACCATTCCTCCTGTTCCCCCCTCCCAACCATGCTGTCAGCTCCTGCTAAGACATCAAGTATAAAACCAAGAAGCTTGCTTACCATGCTGTACACAGCTTGAAATAAACCACATTACGTATATTAAACGCAGCAAGTGTGTCACAGCTTACATTTCAAACTCTATCTATTCTGAAAAAGAAAGCACACTGACTTCAAACTTTGACTCCTCCACAGAACATTGCTGTGCCACTTGAAAGCATCTCACCGCAGGCACGCTTTACCCATGCTTTCAAGCGCTTCCGTGTACCACAACCACAATTTGGGTTTGTGCAGAGGAACTTCTGCAACGCATCATAAAATTATTTTACTCAAACTCTCCAACTGAATATAAAGAGTTCTTAGCAGCTCATTTTTACAGTCATGTCTGAGGATTTGAGGAAAATATTCAGTTGGGTCCTCGGAGGTGTGTGACAACAAACAGAGCAATCACAGCCCAGCCAGCCTCTGTGGTCGGCACTCCCAAGTAGCCTTGCCGTAGCCATCACTAAGAAACAGCAAACCTCTCGCACCATGTTAAACAGCTTCTGATTTAGTAGTTTTCTTTTTAGATGGACTGCTTTACAGCCTAAAAACAGCTTCCTTTTTTTAAAAGCGTTCAGTGTCTTGGAAAAAGTGTAAATTTGGCCTATAGGCATATCGTCTGCGTAGGCATCTGAACAGAACTTGGAAAAAGCAGTATCACAGTGTTGTGGAAAAAGTGAAGTCATGCAATATTTCATGCAGGGCAACATTAAGATAAGGACAGGTTATTGTCTCAGTTTCAGAAAAACCAGCATCCCAGTGATTCGGTTCATCGTGAAGCCTGGGTGAGGCAGGGAAAACTACATGCTACTCACATACAACAGGGATCCACTCTGTAGTTCAAAATGACATTGAAACAGAAATGTTAATGATTATGGTTTATGCAATATCAACACTTCTGGATTAGCATGTTTCCACTGATACATTTAAAATGTTTGCCAACAAATGGTTTATTTCAATCCTGACACATTAACTCTAAGCAAAAGGAAGGTTAAACTAAACACTGCTCCATCTATTTTTGGAACAGAGAAATATTTTAGTAAAAACCCTTAGAATTGACTGAGGTTTGCAAGGAGGGAGGATTAGGTTAAATACTAAGAATGTCTGTAACTTCTGAAAATGAGACCGGGGGCTCAGACGCATGATTGGGTTACAGGAGTTTAACAAGTTACCACACACTAGCCAAGGCATCCCAGCTGTCCATGTGATTTCTTTTTGCTTCCAATATACCAGACCTAACTTGAAGTTCCTTTTATTATTTTCCTTTCCACTACAGTTTAAGTTGTGCTACAATCAGCTTTCAGAAGAACATAAGAGGAAGAACACAATCAGCTAAATTAAATCATGGTAGCTTCTTCAGTTACCAAGCCTTAGTTATACCATGCAGAGCTGTTGCAAAGCTTTTTCTTTATTTAAAAGCTCGTGCCCATGACAAAGAGGCATCACTTACCATCTCAGGTTAGAGTGTGGAGCATTTACCTTGCATAACATGTGACAGCAACTGTTTATCTCTTTCCACAGTCTTACCATCAACTTGTACCTAACCCTTCTCTTTATGCTCCTTCACACGCACGCTGCACAGCGACGGGAGTAAGGCAATTCCTACTCTCGTACAAGAAGGTGGCCTAGAACAGACTGACTACTGCTGTGCACAGGAAAGGAGGGATTTAGGGGAGCAGGAAACAGGCAGTGTTATCTGCATGCCAGCTCCAGCCAGCCTGAGGAATAAGAGCAGCTGGAGCTCAAACATTAATTCAGGCAGCAACACTGGACAGATACCACGTCGCTCATAACACTTATCCTAGAAAGTCAGGGGAAACACTTGATTTCAAAAGACGATTGGTTATGTCAAGCCTTTTCCCCTTGAGATCAAAGTCTTTATCAAGTTACCTGAGAAGCTATAAAAATATTCAGACAAAACAGCATGTTAATCAAAAGAATTTTGTAACTTCCATTAATCTCCCTCTTATTTAGTACTATGTTTAATATTAAAAAACTCTCAAGCAGCACATTAACCAAGCACACACCCAGCAGCTAGAGAAGGTGAACCTTTTGCTTCAGGACAGAGTAACACCACTATAAAGCTGTGAGAAGGGCTTTGCAATGCTGAGGAACTTGTACGTAAGCTGTTCACTAGTCCACTCTCTCAAAGCCAGTTAAACATTTACAGTTAAAGTTTACTATTACCTGTATACCTCTACAAGATTTCCCATGTTATGAATACAAATTGACAGAAAAATAGAAGAATATATATCAGTTCACCTATATAACTTTAAAAGCATAAAGAAAAACACTTGCCTGATGTTTCACGGGTTTAGGTGATTCGGGCTGTTCATTGCAAACAAACAAACGCATATGTTAGCAAGCAAGCACTGCAGCTGCAAGTTATATCCCAAATTATTAATGTCAGTAGGTTTAGTTTAACTATTTACTCACTTCATAGAAATGATTTCAAAATTAATTTTAGAAAAGTTATTCGCTTGTCATTGCATGCGCAAAATACTAAAACCTGTGTTTATGCAAAGAACTAATTCCAAATAAAACATAAGATGACAGACGGACCTTGAGCAGCAAGGAAAAAGGGCAGGAGTTTAATTAGTTGCTCACTGTTTTCCACAGTTTTGCCAAACAAAAAAAAAAAGTAAATGTGCAACACCAAGTAACTTTCTCTACAGCCTTAGTCACTACAAGGTGGTTTTGTACAGATAAGATGATCATTACTCTTCAAAAATCAAAAAGATTATGAGAGAACCAAGACAAAAGCAGTACTTAAAGAGTCTGGGGGTTTGGTTTTGCACTATACTTCAGGTATTTCAAAATGCAAACCTGCAATTGAGATGAAAGCTTTGTTTGTTTCTCTCAAGAATGACCGACCACATGAGAAGCAGCAAAACCTTAAGAAACTGGAAGTCCTTCAAATTTTCCCAGGAAGAAGGGTAAACAGAACATGAATGCAATAAAGTAAAATAAAACCTCTCAAATTCAAATTTGCACAGCTTCTACAGAAATGCAGACATCTTCAATTCCATTATTAGCTCAGTCTGCAAATTTAATCTTGACCTTCACATCAGAGACCCTAAGGGGGAAATAGTGTGGTGAAACACACACACACAATCATAGAAATCACAGAATGGTTTGGGTTGGAAGGGACCTCACAGCCCATCTACTTCCAACCCCCCTGCCATGGGCAGGGACACCCTCCACTAGCCCAGGTTGCCCAAAGCCCCATCCAACCTGGCCTTGAACACTGCCAGGGAGCCGGGGCAGCCACAGCTTCTCTGGGCAACCTGTGCCAGGGCCTCAGCACCCTCACAGGGAAGAATTTCTGCCTCAGATCTAATCTAAGTCAACCCTCCTTCAGCTTAAACCCATTACCCCTTGTCCTATGACACATCCCCCAAGAAATTTTCATACCAAGCCAGATGCACACTTCCTCCCTTTATCTCCATTTTGTAAAAAAAAAAAAACAACAACAAAAACAAAAACAAACCTAGCACTGGTTTAGTGCAGAATAACAGATTTTGACAGAGGTCTGTAAAGCAGCTGGCAAAGGTTTGACTTACTCAGCTAAGTGATGTGAATTTTGCAAAGCTGCATCATACCTGCTCAGAAAACAACTCCAGCATCTAAAACAAGGTTAGATGTTTCAGGATGAAGCTACTACTCCTCCTATAATCACTGGAAAAGGATGCGTATGTCTAGGAACCTAGAGGCATTTAATTTGCTTATCTTCCAACAAGATTAATTGCTCTCTCGGGGTGCCCATTTCCATCCTCACTTCGAAACAGAAGTGAGCATAATCGGACACATTTAACTTCTGTTTTTAAATTAGGGTTTTTAAAGCTCATCTGGGAAATCCTCACTAAGGGGAGCTAGAATCTGAGCGAGCCTACCCAAGATCCTGTACTTCAAAAAGAATTATGTTTCTTTTGAAATTAATAAAACAGATTAAACAATTTAGTATTTCAGCTACAAAGGCAAATGCAGTCACTTAAAGCAATCATTAACCTGAACATACCAGTAATTATGTTATGGTTGGACTTGATCTTAAAGATCTTTTCCAACCTAAATGATCCTATGATTCTATATCTGAAGCTTAAAATGGCAGCACCACAAAAGCCAGATTTTAGTGACATCAGAGGGGGTTTGGGGCAGGAAGGTTTTGGGGAGAAGGGAAGTGAAAAAAAGTGTAATTCTGTTCATCTGAACCAGAGGTACCAGGATGACTGGGAGTGAGAACAGCAGTGGTAGATGGATGCAGTTATTTATAGAACTTAACTACTTAACGTACTGCCATGATGGAAAACTGATTTAATGTATTTGACCATGAATAGCGCAGGTACATCCACAGCCTACAAGTTCAGCTGACAGTATCCCCCAGCCTCACACAGCCTGTTGAACACACAAGTTCATGGCAGCCCCCAGGCAGTAAGTGACAACCAGCACTTTTCCTTATTGTGGAAAGCCATGTATGCAATTTTTATTTTTTTTTTTAAAGTTATTTCTATATTTTGCACTGACTTCCCTCCCCATACAAAACCACGATGTTTGTAAATTAAAGCAGAACCCAAGAGTCAGAATTAAGACTCACTGCTTCACCATATTAAAGCAGTTCTAACACATGCATTAACAACACTATTTCATTCTTTTCTCTTTTCCTTCTCACTTCGTGCATATGGGAGCAACGAGCCACATAACCAAGCAGTTTAGAACTCTCCTCCTCCTCCCTACCGTCCTCACTTAATCTGTCCAAAACCCTCTCCAGACACACCAGCCTCACCAGTTACCTATCCTTGTTCTCTTCCTCTCCTTTTATTCTAAATATCCTTTTCTCCACCCCTCCTGAGCCTACAGAAGAATAATTGAGAGCCAAGGTGAAAGGGGCTGCTATCGTGGCCTAGGAGCATGGGACAGCTGCCCAGACCAACAGATACCCACACGGGTCACCTTTGGTCTGAGCTGCCCAAGCCAAAGCACAGTGGTTGCCTTTATAAAGCTGTTCCATGCACAGCATGGTTAACAACTGAATAAGCCACAATATGCTTGGTGCAGGCACAATATTCAAATTTGTTGGATGAGAAACTATAAAGCTTTCAGTTATTTACAACAGATACCTTCCATCTTCTCTCCCTTGCTACACACCAAGTAGCACTGTACCTGTGTCAGTTCTGACACTCAACCAAGGACACTACATTTGCAGAATCAGGCTTGCTTTCATCCCACCTTCAGTCTTTAGATGAGCCAACTTTTATAACTCACTGCCAAGTACTTCTCCCTCCCCTCCATTACCTGGCTCTAGAAGCCCCGTCTCTATTCCCGATTTAAGGGACTAGCCTAGTCTCACCTAGCTCTGCCAGGTCCCACAATTACTGAAGCTTCTCTGCTACATTTTGACCACCACCACCTACCCACACTTCCTAGCACAGTGCCCAAGACACCACCTTTAACATTCTTTGAGATTAAACAGGAAAGGAGACAGTGTGGCTACAGATTCAAACACTCAAAAATCAGGAAATGCTAGTATTAAGGCCGTTCAGCACTGTAATTCCACCCTCTGTGGTTACAACGTGTTTTTGACTCCACTTCCCACAGGAGCCCTGTCTGAGGACAACATGCCAAGGGCTACGCAGGACTCCTCTGTCGGCACACAGTCACTAGCTGTTATGGTAGAGGACTGTTGGGAATGAAAAGTCGCATGGACAAGCAGCTGAATGCCAAATGCGATGAGGCTGTCCGAGGGATGAGTAGAGCTCCTGCGTGATGCTCCTTGCACAAGCCGAGAATTTCACAATCGGTGCTGCTGGAGAATGTACTGGATGAGCATCTGTGGCATGGCAGAACATCAGGACGTAGCCTGAGGTGTCAAACCGGGGCCTACACTTGTTTGTAATACTTTCACAGCACTACATCAGGAAAATCAAAGTTAACCCTAGATTTCAGAACAGTCTCAGGCAGATAATTATTCATTCATCAGCATACAAATTGCTTCATAAAATAAATCCATGCAGCTTTCAGAGCAGTCTTGGTAATGTGCATGTCACCAATAATTACTTGTAACAGGATGGATAAAAATAAATCCATGACTAGCAGCCTATTTAACAAGGCTACTTAGCATCTTCTCTGTGCACAGGATAACACAGAGGTTGTACAGCTGGGTACTATGGATCACCACCAGCCCTCTGCACAGATATGGCAATAACAACAGCTTAGGATTGCATCTGTAACCCCAATTCTGACACTTCTTAACTTTTGAGTGTGTTAGGTATATAGGTTAGACATTCTTGGTTTGCAATATATAAATAAAAATGAATTCTTACAGAAAAGGAAGACTCATTTGTATTTTCAAAGCTGTTCTGGTCACACAAACATTCTACGTTTTTCATAAGTGTTTGCTTAATTCAGTGCTTACTATGGCACCACAGTGAATGAAGTGCATGATCAAAGTATTGAACTTTCATTCAGGGCACTACTCCATTCTTTTTTTTATTGTGCTTAAACTATGTTGTACAAAGATTTTTCCAGTTCCCATCATGACAGCCATCAACAGTTCATGAAGTAGCTGATTACAACAATCATCTTAAACTCTTTTGATACGAACACCACCATCCCATTGCAGTTCAATGAGCAATTTAAATTTAATTAGCTAACACTGCATTAAAAAGGGCAACTCGTCCTTCCCTTCCCTGACCTTTCCCACCCCTGCTTTCCCCTTTCTGTGCCTTCACTTCATCCTGGTCATGCAGCCATGCAATAAACACAACAAAGGAAACTTGTTTCGGTTAAAGACACATAAGTCTTTTTTATAACACTAGTTTGAGCCTGCATCAGTTTCAAAGCCCATCGAGAGGCCACAGGAATTGTGATGATGACAGAAGCACCCCTTTCTGAGCTTTATTAGCAGAGCACAAAGTGCTCATGGAAACGCAGTGTGAGAAAGCTAAACAAACATGGAGTACTTTTTAAACAATCAAAAATAGGTCTTCAAGTGATTAAGCACTGGAACAGGTTTGCAGTAAGTTTGCATAATCTCCATCCCCCGAGATTTTCAAAACTCAGCTTAACAAGGTCTTCAGCAACATCATCTAACTTTGAAGGAAGGTACACTTCGAAAGGAGGCTGGACCAGAGGCTTCTTGAAATCTCTTTCAACTTGAGGTATTCCAAACTGTCAATTGTGTCTTTAGAAGTACTAGGTACAAACCCAGCACAATTCCCTTCTCTGCGTAATTCCCTTCTCCCTCAAAAAGCTGTAGACACTTTTACTCCTGTAAAAATTGGAAAAAATGCTGGCTTTCTTCCAGGCTGCACAGCAGTAAAGCCAAGAATATCCGTAAGTCAACACCTACCAGAAGGCCAAGTCTGATGGATGACGCTAAATGAACAGCATTCCCCAGCGCCCCGTGTTCTCCCAACACAGGACAATGCCATGAACACACATCTAGTACTGCTGATGCTCCATCACAAGAAACTTCCCGCTAAGGCCCATAACTGATGTGGACACAACCTGCGGCACACTCAGACTGCACGATAAATGTTTGGACTAAGTTTGATCTTTTCTGTATGATAAGCCAGCAACAGTTTGAGTAAGCATCAATGCACAGAGTCATGCTATTTGCTCTTGATTAGAGCAAAGATTCAAGTTTCCCCATACTCTTAACTAGATTTCTCCAAATCTACCTACAGAGAAATCTCTCCTTCTCTCCCACTCCAAACCCTCGCCTTTCTCTACTTCACAGATTGGTCAAAAGTAATCTCCTGTTTCTCCAGGAGTTTGAGTCTTGACATATTCAAGAACACTAAGTGCCATGCACTAGAAATTACAGAAATTGTTGCTGTTAAGTCAGATGATGTAGTCTGAAAGCTTCCAAGGACCAGAGACACCCACAGTGCCACTGGAGAAGAGCAGGCATACGCCAGTGTTGATTATAGCAAGCCACTTGCTTGTAGCAAGTCGAATTAGTACTTCACTGCAAAGAGATCCAAGTGCTCGTAGGAACAGATATCCAAACCCATTCATATTTTTTAAAGCAAAGAATCACTAAAAATTCAGTGCAAATTTTGCAGTCTGGCAGTAAGTCTGAAGAAAGTTCTACATAAATCAAGTTAGTGACAAGTTACCAAAAACCCCAAGATTCTCTGCCATAAAACTGTATATGCTCTTGTTTGCAGCGTAATAAAATCTGAGCTTGTTATTAGCCACTGACTTCTAGACATACCATGTCTACAGCAGTTTTTAAGCTTGATGATTCTTCCCATCTACAAGTTAATTTCTGAAATAACAGAAAGCTTGTTCACAAATACAGTACTGAAAACTGCATCTAGTGGGAACAAAATTCCCTAAGAATTGTCTGAGTTAATTAAATTTTTGCAAAACTGGAGTTTACTGCATCAGAAAGCTTTGATGCTGTTTCTAGTTTCAGTGTTTGCATATAGCCTTTAATTTCGCAACAGAAATTAGAAAGCTAGCATTAACTGCAAATTTTAATGTAACTGCTCATTTCAGCTACTACTAAAGAGAAAATAAAGGTTGAGACAAGATTACGTGGATTACATTACACCTTATCTTTAATAAAAAAGTTGTGTTTTAATGCAAAGATGGTAATTTTCAAAAAGAGCAATAAACAAGTAAGAAAATATCCCAACTTACAGGAATATTATGGTCCTTTCTTCCTTTATGGGAGGAAGCAACATGAGCAAGGTACTGAATAACCTTCTTAGTGTTTTCAGTCTTCCCGGCACCAGATTCACCTCTGCAAAACATTTCAGACATTTTCCTCAAAATTAATTTTCAACAATTTATCAATCCTTTGTTTATAGCAACCTCATTTCATTCCATTTATGGCTCTGACTACACGACAGACTTTCAGTAACTGTCTAAAACCAAAAGCGCTGATCTTGCAAGGAACTACAAGGTATTTGTTTAAAATACTTTCTTCATCCTAAAGATCTCCTTAGCATTAAGATGTTGATACAATGTGTAACATTAGTTTGATTAAAAGCTTTTGACTATATGCCTGAATTCCTTTGTTACCTAAAGTAACAAGAAACAGACTTGTCCTCTGCCTTGATCACAAGGCCAGAGACAGACTTTTTCAGAATGTAGATACATATATTATTTTTTAAATCATTATATATATATACACATACACACACTTTTATATTTAGCATCATTTTAATATACTTTCTGTTCCAGGAGCTGGTTATGAGAATTACCAAGTTGATGGAAACATTCAGTATCTTTAGAAGCCAGTTTTAAAGTACAGCAAAATGCATTTTAAACAAACAGATTCTTTGCACTGCTCTTCTCAGACTCTTAGCTAGTTTAAAAAAATAAATTTATGGCCACAGGGCTACATGAATTCATTAAGAAATGAATTTATTAGTGCAGAGTGGTACAGTACACAGATCAATAAAGATAGCAAATGCGCATTTCATTTTTAAGACAGAGGCAAATTTAAAGCAGAACATGTTTAGACAGAATTTATTGCAAGGTTTACATATGGGAGATTCTAGGCAGGAAATATGCCCAAGTTCACATCACTGCAATCACAAATGATGTTACTACAGCTCTTTTTTCTTTCTTTTTTTTTTTTTAAACATCGGTCTGGTCTTCAGATAAACTCACACATCAAAGGGATTATTACCAGGCCTAACTTAGCCATGATTCAATGGCAGTAAACTACTGGGGAAAGATCCCATTTCTAGTGAGACAGACTGCCACTAACAACAAAGCGCGTGAAGCTAAAAAGGATTTTATTATGGGGATTTGCATGGAAAGACTGAAAGAACTTCTGTCATTCAACATTTGTTCAGAAATTAAAGTTTGGAAGCCAACTACTTTGTAAGAATGACACGTACGCATTTTATGTGCTTGCATATTTCTCAGCGAAGATACTTATAATGGAAATGTTAATTTACTGGGAGGAATTTAAGCACATTCTTTTGCAGTCTTCATAAATACCTTCGGCCACCATGCTGCGTACCCCAGTTTTGTCACTAGCCTGCATTTCCTTTGGTATTTAGTACCTTCAGACCTGCACTTCTTGATCAGATAGGCAGCTTAGAAGCATCCCTATCCTCACATTACACTAAGTGTTTGCAAAAATGAGACAATATAGCACTTGAAAATTTAATTTTCCATATACAGAAAGGATATTACCCCAGATTTTCAAGGAGAATGAACTCTAGAACAACCTCATTTCTTCTTACCTTACCTCCCAATCCCAAAGGACAACTGCACTGGCAGAGGTGACCTCTTGCTAAGAGATGGCAGCATGCACCTCTCCATTCATGAGCAAGAAGCAATGGGGACTGAAGCAGCTCACTCACAGCGACTTTACAAACTCATCACAGCTCATCTGTTTGACCTAACAGAACAGTCTCAGCACCCACTTTTATTGATGCCATCTGCTTCTCAGAAGCAACTACATCAACCTGTCCAAAACCATTTTTGTTCCATTTTTCCTAACAAGACAAACATCATCGGAAAATAAAGAATATGGAAGATTAGAAATCACTGCACTCAATTACTCAAACCTTTCTGAAGACGGAGAGGGTATCTCCCTTGAAATGTGTTGACTGTGCTAGCTTTGCTCATGGCATGAAAAAACTTGGAAGGTATTACCTGAAGAGCTAGTTACAAAGAAGATTACTCAGAGAATTAGCTAATGGATAACCAGGTTTCCTTTTTGCCAAGATACCAGCAATAAGCAACACAGAAACTGGCTATACTTTGGGACTGCTACAAGTGGAACAACACACTTTGATTCTTAATGAAAAAATCCCATTTCTACCCAGCCCAGAGTCATCATGTACAAGACAAGTGCAAAGACTGATAAGAAAAAAAAGACCTCAGATGCCAATTCTTGCTTCCCAAGTCTTTATTTCTAGTTTCCCTTTTACTGCAGTGTTCACATTAACATAATTCATGACTATAAGCAATAACAAAAGCAGTCTTGCCTGTTTCTAGATTTGTATTAAAATATGCTTAATGCCAAAACTATTCCAGCAGGCAGAAGTAAGAAAAGTACAGCAAAATATACATTTAAAAACAAAACAATGTGTTCTTATTGTCATCAGAGCTTGGGAACACGTTATTAGCCATGCCTTTAAAACCTTTAAAACTAGATAAATAATCTTTTCTGTCAAATTACAGAAACAGAGTTTGTTACATTTTAAAGGAGGAAAATCTACTCTGACACATCCAGTGAAGAGAAAATAGTACAATAAATACAGTCCAGGCACCACACAGTTTTAGAAGAATCTACTAACCAACAAGCTCTCTGGCATACACACCAGCAAAGCTTCATACAGCACAGGAAGGTCAAAAGCTTGCAATACATTCCTTTTTGCTAAAAAGCCTTTAAATCTAATAGTGGGGGGGGGTTTTAGACAAAGTCTCTATGCAAGTTCTCATTCAAAAGCAACACTAATGGATGTTATCATCCTAGTTCTCCTCTCCCTGGAGCTTACAAGTATGCCAAATATTTCCTGCAGGATACAGTGTTAGATAGCTCTGCTGCCATATACTATAAAAGAATTAGAAGATTTAGGGTAAAGTCCTTTTCGTTTATAGAAACAATGACACACGCGTACTTTAGATCTTTCCCAGGAGTGCAAACACATGGATTATAAAAATAAATTAAAATCTTCTGACTTCTATCAACCTGCCCCAAAAAGGTAAACTTTTAGTAACACTGTGTACGATATTTATGGAATGGAGATGGTATCACGAAGCTAAACATTAACTTTTTCAAAACCTTGTTTTAATACAACTCAATTAATATGTTACCATAAATTAAACAACTAAAATCTTTGGCTGAGATCCTAGCCTTACTTCAGTCAATGGTAGCTTTGCTAATGACTTCAGTAGGGTCATAATTTCACCTCTTATTTCGGTCTCAATTCCACTACTAGTAGAAACAAAACCTTATGAGAGTGAATTGAAACACTATCAACTCCAGCCACGGGCTATGCCAAACAGCACATCCAAGTACACAAACCATCTTTAGCAATAGCCTTGAGTTGGAGGTTTAAGGTTATTCCATCACTTAAGTGAAGGATCCCTCCCTTACAAACTGTGTTAGAGACAGGTCAAAGAAAGTCCGACAGTCACTGGTAAATTTATGTAGTATCTAGAGCTGCAGTGCTTTTCCCTAGAGCAGCAAAGCTTCTGCTTTGAAGCAGCTTCAAGCACATTTAAAACAGGAAAAGCTTAGCTAGCAACAGCACTTTAAAGTTTTTACATGGTTTTAAATTCATTGCATGTAAAGCTATAGTGTCATTTTCAATAAAGGAAAATAAGTTTGCCTGAAGAGTACATCTCAGCTACAATTTGATTAGCAAAAATTAGCTACTGACTTTGTAACCAGCTGCAATTTTTATTTTCCTTGAGCAACTGGAGCTCAAATCTTGCACAGAAGTAAAAGGCATTTCCTCTGCTGAACAGATTGCCATCTAGAGAACAGACAAAACAAACATAGCAGGAGATGACTCCCAGGTCAGAAAGCAGACAGGCAACAAGCAGGAGTGGAAGCAGGTCTTCTGACTTCCAGGAGAGCCATGTGCTCTGGCCATAGGCCCACTTACAATGGCAGTTATTATTCCATAAATAGGTTAAACACCTGTCTGGGAAAGACCTATTCTAAGGGGAAATGCTGTTCTAAAGAAAAACAGTAGGGAAACAATTGTTTTTCCTATTGTCAAGCAGGTTTGAAGCATCTTCTTGTGATAGTTACAGCACTCAGCATGGCCAGGACAAGGCAACACCACCACCCCCTCCTGAACTGGTAAATGAGTTTCTGGATTTTAGGGAAGTCAAATTAGTTTAAAGTTGCTTACTGAAGTCTCACTGCAAGGACTGGCAGCCTTCCACCACCACCCAGCTAGCCGTTAATGTCACTAGCAGATCAGGGGCTACGCAGGACATACAAAGCATAGTGCTGTGAGTCACGTAGGACAGAAGGACACAAAACCACACGTACAAAGGAAGCTTTGAAATTCAAGAGACAGACTTTTCTTCATCTTGCTACCTGTGCACAAAGTCTACTGCAAACTAACAATATTTGTTAAGATAAGCATCTGGAATATATTAGGATGGTCAGATGAAGTTAGTATCATCTTTCCCATTACAGATCATCTCTGTCATTTAACGTACTGAAAAACTAACCAAGGAGCCAGTATTTTCCATGATGGGAGCCTGGATCACTCAAACTTTTCCTTTGCCCTGTGAGTTTGAGTCTATTACTATCATTCCTGATCAGCAACAGGCTCTGGGATGAGAAGTTCATCTGGAAGCAGAAAGTCCTTCTGCAAAGAAGTGGCACCACCACCTTGACACCCGGCCAAGTTCGCCTCAGTGCTCAATTTCACAAGGCTCGGGAACCCCGACCTGCCGCTCACGGGTCTGTGGCCACCAGTGCCTCCTTTCATAGGAAGCAGCCGCTTCCATAAGGCACCAAAACATGAAGTATGCACTTAAATTGTTTGTAGGAGAAAATAACTGCGTAAGAGCCCGAACAATGGTCTTTTGTCCTTGTCACAACAGCAGTTGCAAAGAACAGAAGAGACACTTATTCTCAGACACAACTGAGCAGATCTTCTGCCAGTTACAAATTAACAGATATTTACAGTCAAGACCTGTAATTAAAAGGATGTCTTAATCACCTGGCTAATTTTCTGAAACAAAGAGGTATATAACTGATAGTTTGGACTAGCACAGAAGAGTCACTAATTGGCTTTACTATTTACAAAGCTGCTTTACAGCTCCTT